TGCAGGCAGGTAATTTGGCCATTAAAAATAAGATCAGCACCATTGGAGGAATGGGTCCTACATACAGCGAACCTGGAATGTAAAAGTCAGGATACAGGAGCTTGGGTAGGTGAAGCTATTTCTACAGGCTTGAGGAGGCACCAGGATGCCAAATACCCTACCTGTGATGATATAGAGGCCTGGGTAGGGAAGGCAATCTCCAAGAATTTTAATAGGCATAAAGATGCAACATGCTTTAACTGTGGTAGAATAGGACATCTTAGTAGGAACTGTAGACAACGCATTCCTAGAAATAATGCTTTTACCAGGAATGCATCAAACAGAAGGCCTAAGCCTCCTGGTCTATGCAGGAGGTGTGGGAAGGGGGCGCCATTGGACTGATGAATGCTTTTCCACAATAGACAGACAAGGTAGATCTTTAAAGCCGGGAAACGGGGTTCAGGGGCTCAATGGAGCCCCAAAAATGAAGATTATCCGGTCATTCCCAGTGACAGTGGAGGACAGTCTCTCCCAGGACAATTAGAAGATCCACTGCCCATTGTAAACAATATGCCACTGGATAATACATTAGCTCCAGAGGGTGAATCAATTACATCAGGAGGAGATACAAAACATATATTTTGGCAAACTTCTATACAATATCATAGACCCAAGCTACCAGTTAAGGTAAATAATAGGGTGATTTACGGATTCCTGGACACCGGAAGTGATGTCACTATCATTAATCAGCAGTCCTGGCCAACCAACTGGGCTTTAAAAGAGGTTAATGTTCAATTCTTAGGGATTGGAACACTATCTGAAGTTAAACAGAGCGTTAAATGGATTGACTTTATTGGGCCAGAAGGACAGAGAGGAAGGTTAAAGCCATATGTTGCAGATATTGCTATAAACCTCTGGGGTCGTGATCTACTCCAGCAATGGAATACGCAGATTAACATTCCTCCTGTATCAGCTAGGAATTATAGACAAGCCCTTAGTGGTAGAAAGAATATAGTAAGGCTGTACAGAAAACAGATGCAAAATGTACAGGCTGTACAGAAGCAAGATGCTAGTGACAAACCTACAGAGCAACCAAAAGCTCTACCATTAAAATGGCTGACAGATGAACCCGTCTGGGTGGGTCAATGGCCTATGATATCTGATAAGTTAGAGGCTTTGGAAGAGTTAGTTTGGGAACAGCTAGATGCTGGATATATTGAGGAATCAACTAGTGCATGGAATTCGCCTGTTTTTGTTGTCAAGAAGAAGTCTGGTAAGTGGAGAATGGTTACTGATCTTAGAGCCATCAACAAGGTAATTCAGCCTATGGGGTCTCTACAACCTGGGATGCCGTTACCTTCTCTAATTCCTAAGGATTGGCCAATTATAGTTATAGACTTAAAAGATTGTTTCTTCACCATACCGTTACAAGAAAACGACAGAGAAAAGTTCGCCTTCACGGTACCTACCTATAATAATTCCCGTCCGGTACAGAGATTCCAGTGGAAGGTACTACCTAAAGGTATGTTAAGCAGTCCAACTTTGTGTCAATATTTTGTGAATAAACCTCTAGAAATAATTCATAAAAAATTTCCACATTCATTAATATATCATTATATGGATGACATATTATTGTCTGATTCAAATAAGGATACTTTGGAAAAGATGTTTGAGGCAGTAAAGGAAATTTTGCCTCGCTGGTAATAACAAATTGCCCCAGAAAAAAATACAAAGAGGAGATTCTATTAACTATTTAGGTTATAAAATAGATGTTCAGAAAATTAGACCACAGAAAGTACAGATCAGAAGAGATCGTTACCGGACTCTGAATGATCTTCAAAAACTATTAGGAGAAATCTCTCAATTACAAACAATTATCAGTGTAGAAGCATGATTTAAAACACCTGAAAATGGCTTTAAAACGAGATAAAGTCCTAAACAGCCCACGAGTACTATCAGCTGAGGCTGAAAAAGAATTAGAATGGGTAGAAAAGAGAATATTAGAAGCACATGTGGACCGTGTGGATCCAAATCTGGACTGTATTTTGGTTATTTTACCATCTAGAGAATACCCCTCAGGAATATTAATGCAGAGGGAAGACATCATTCTAGAATGGGTATTTCTCCCACATAAACAGAATAAAAAATTGAAAACATATATAGAAAAGATCTCTGATTTGATATTAAAAGGTAAATTAAGGCTTCGTCAACTGACTGAGAAAGACCCAGCTGAAATTATTGTACCTTTAACAAATGAGGAAATTTCCTCCTTATGGAAGGATAATGAGCATTGGCAAATAGCTTGCAGTGACTTTTTGGGAAGTATTAGTAATAACTATCCCAAAACAGAGAGAATCAAATTCATAAAGAAAACAATTTGGATTCTTCCACGTATCGTGAGGCAAACACCTATTTCTGGAGTTCTTACCTTCTACACGGATGCAAACAAATCAGGTAAGGCAGGGTATAAATCAGGAAATATAAGTAAAGTAGTTCAAAGCCCTTACAATTCCGTACAAAAGGTAGAGTTATATGCCATTCTCATGGTACTTAAAGACTTTTCAGAGCCTCTCAATATAGTCACAGATTCTCTGCAGAAAGAGTTGTCTTGCACATTGAGACTGCAGAATTTGTTCCTGATAATACAGAATTAACCTCATTGTTTTTACAATTGCAGGAAATCATCAGAAACAGGACTCATCCTATATATATAACACACATCAGATCCCATACAGGTCTGCCAGGTCCTCTGGCACAAGGCAATGATGAAATTGATCGTTTATTAGTAGGTAATGTGTTGGAAGCTTCAGAATTTCATAAGAAACACCATGTTAACAGCAAAGGTTTAAAGAAGGATTTTTCTATCACCTGGCAACAAGCCGAAGAAATAGTAAGAAGTTGTCCCAGTTGCTCATTGTACAATCAAACTCCATTAGCAGCAGGTTGTAATCCTAAAGGTGTTCACAGAAATGAACTTTTGCAAATGGATGTATTTCACTTCCCAGAATTTGGCAGTTTGAAATATGTACACCATACTATAGACACGTTCTCAGGCTTCTAATGGGCTACTGCCCTCAGCTCTGAAAAAGCTGACTCTGTTATTACACACCTCTTAGAGGTGATGGCTGTTATGGGTATACCTAAAACAATAAAAACTGACAATGCTCCAGCATATGTCTCCAGTAAATTGGAACAATTCTTCAAATATTATAATATAAAACATGTAACTGGTATACCTTACAATCCCACAGGACAAGCAATAATTGAACGATCTAATCGAACCTCAAAAGACATGCTTCATAAACAGTCAGGGAAAACAAAGACACCTAAACACAGGTTACACAATGCTTTACTAACGTTGAATTTTCTTAATGCTGATGAAAAAGGACAAACTGCAGCAGAAAGACACTGGACTACAGAGAATACTTCTGAACTGAACCAACCAGTGTATTTTAAGGTTGTTTTGACCTCAGTCTGGAAACCAGGATATGTGTTACATTGGGGAAGGGGTTATGCTTTTGTTTCCACAGGAGAAGAAAAGGTTTGGGTTCCATCAAAATTAATTAAAAACCGATCAGAACAGAAAACATCTCAGGAGGAGGAAGATAACAGCCCATCTACAAATTCATAGTCCACCATGGGTAAAGTGACTTCCTAAAAGGAAAGAGAAGTGTTTTGTTTTTTGTATTCACAGGTAAACTCAGCAAAGAATACTGGACATATGGATTCCTGTGGAAGAATGAATAGCTACCCTGGGGACCATCAAACAAACAGTAACTCACTGTGTGGTATCAAAGTCTAAATCACTCTATATTGTTTTTTCATAGTACCCTTTTACCTTTATTTCTTCACATACCTCAGTCCCCATTCATTTAACTGAAGCTGGCTTTGGAGTTGGATTGGCTCTCCTACTCTAAACTCAAGCATATTATTTAAATACGATTCAGAATTTCTGTATTATATCAAAGAGCCATTGATATAAGACAGAAGAAATAAAATGAGGGACTGTTATCTGTGGATTTCTTTTTCTGAACAGTCCAATTTCCTCCAGGTTTTCCATCTTCCCTATTGTCACCTCTTCTGTATGCATACATATGAAAGTTAAAATATTTCTTTGTTAACATTAATGTTTGAGTTTTCCAGAGAACAAGGGATTTCCTGACAGCAATCTTCAACTGCTTCCAAAAGAGAATGAGGATCCACTTCCTTGACTTCACCTGATTCGACTGGAGGCATCTGAACTGCCCCACATCATTGACTCCACCTGACAAGCAGTATCCTGAAACTGGCTTGAAATTACATCACTCTACACAACTCCGGATCGAGAAACTAAAACAGCACATCTTCTACAATCTGGCCAGAGCTTCAAATGAGAGCTTCAATCAACACTAGAACCCCAGTCAGGAACTTCAATCAAGCATCTCCTGACATACAGAGACTGTCTGATCTATGGAGATTTTGTTATACTAACATTTTCTTTTCACAGGTCCCCATGAGATTATCATCGTCCCATCTCAGCAGGAAGTAGTTTGGGAATTCCACGCCCCCTCTCCCTACTATTGATATTATAAGATAGTTTACACCTGTTAGTGTTAGTTTTCAATTATTTTAGAGTTGGGATTGGAAGGAGATGTTCATATTTGGGTGTTTCTTTCAGATAAATTTAGGTTTAGATAGAATAGATGTTTGATACATTTTATTCATGGACACAAGTTAGTTGTCCTTTTTTTAGACTAAAAGGGGAATTGTCGGAGGAAGTCTGCATGCCGCCATTAAACATGTGACTTACTAGAGGCGCATACAGATGAGGTAATAAAAGGGCGGATTACCACACCGCTAACCACACCCACTTTAGGCAGGACTAAAGACATATACGGCTGGACGTAAAGACGTATACGTACGTAGGCCGAACTACGTCACTAGCCAGGCCCACTTTTGGGCATGGCTAGGGGGCGTTACGGGGGAAGGTATAAACGACAGCACACAGGAAGTCTCGGTCTCTTTTCCTGGAGTTCGGCTTCCGGTTCGGCAGCTGAAAACTGCTTGGCTCCTCTGGGTTTGGTATCTTGTGAGTAATTTCTACATTAAATACTTAGCTTTACTTTCAGTAATTGTATGTCGCTTATCGTTACAGCGTCCATTGAAGCTTACAGAAAGAGAAAAGAGGATAACACTCAGTAAAATTATTATACTGATTCCTTAGAATATATTTGAAAAAAAATTAAAATATCTGAATTTACTGACTCATGACAAGCAAATATGTTGTATAAAATACAATATTTAGCTTTTCATCCAATCAAATAACTACAGTTTAAAAATCTATTGCTATGTTGAAAAATGCCATCCTCAGAATTTTAGTGTATTTTGTTGTTCTGTAACACAAATAATTTCAAATCCATAAGCCCCCAAATACACTCCTTCAGGGTATATCATACAAATATCTTGCTTTTAATGTATAGTGCGCACTGTGGTGTGTTGGCCTGTGTGTAAGCACTGGATAAAACAGGGATGACACATATTGAAGCACAAGGAAAACAAACACATTGCACATATCAAGCTTTGTAAATTGTGTATAGGATCCTACAATGTCTAGAATACATAAATGTCGGTACTTATGAAATATAGTCATAAAATTAGGGTGTTTCATAGTATGAAAAGCTAATTCACAATTAAATTAATTAGTGAGATTTTTTTCCTGCTGTTCCATGCAACATCTCATAACTCTCCCTGCAGTGTTGGTTCTTAACTCAAAGAATTCACACTTTGTACTATAGATGCTATCAGAAAATGTCAGAATCAAATGTCTGAAATACCTCTGCTCAGACTCAAGCTGACTGCATATTATGAGTTGCAGTGTTTTTACTGCGTACTAAATGCTTTCTGCTCTTTCTGCATGAGGATTTAATATTGAAAGACAAAGGTTTTCAATATTTTCTTAACATCATTCCTTGGTGTTCAAGTATCGCATCATTATATCTTTAGATTGTAGTGTGATAAAATGTTAGATATTAAAAAGTTGACTTTGAACTAAACATATTTCCTACAATTTCTTATGTGACTACAGTGATGCTTCTGCCACTTTGTAATATGTACTTATGTGAAGGGTCAGTTCCACTAATGTTTATAGAACAAAAATATCTCATTCTCTGCACGTTGACCAACTGTTAGTTATCTACTATAAAAATAAGTTAGTCTGATGAGAGTTGAGAGATGCACTAATCTGTAAGTATAGCAATAATTCATTTGGAATATGTTTAATACCCTTTCCATTGAGCAAAATAATTGTGGTGGGATCTTCCTTGGAGCCTATATCCTGTTAAGATACAAGTAGTTGACTCTGACACTAGTGACAGGTTTGGGTTTCATCTAATGTAATGGGCTTTAAATCTAATCAGATACTTTTTCATCAGTGGGTGTGTCTTTATAGACCATTTGTTATTGTAGATCTCACAATTTCCAGGTGGGTAAACTGCTGGTTAATTTTTTCTTCAGGTAGAATCCATAGCTCTTCCAGCACTATGAAATCTAGCCAATAGAGATGAAGCATATATGTCTGTACCACCTCAATTCCTTTATGTTTTGACATGCAGTCATGTGGTGTCTTCAAGATTAAATTTTACCAACACATATTAAGGGAATGAAGAGCATCTGGAAAAGGCTATAAATATGTGGGGTCTATGTGACCTTAAATACAAACACCAGCAGTAACCAATTCCTAGCACTGGACTTGTGTTAGCCTGTGATACCTACAAGGGGCATTATCACCCCTTTTTAAACTACTTTTATTTATGTGTATTTTAGGAAACATTTACAATAGATTTTCTTATGACTGCTTCAGAAGGCTTTTACTGTTATTTATCTTCACCTTTTGACCATGTTTAATTCTTCCTCATCCATTGTTTTTCTTAAACCCCTTATAACACTGTGTTCTATTTCCCTTCACTTAAATTGTCAGCCCTAGTAGGGACATCAATATCACACCACCCCTTTCACAAGGACTTATATATCATTGTAGAAGAGAGAGCTAGAAAGATTCAAGGATCTGGAAGAAGTGAATAACTACAAAAGAATTGTGCTTTGATCTCATTAAAGAGATGTTACATATTTCTTACAGCAGATGTGAAATATTTCAGGCACCCAATCCAAAAAAATGGTGCATGGAGGAAGAGATGCAGGCATAAAGTTCTTTCCCTAGTTTTGGAGATATTTGCAATTAATAGTTGCAAGGAAAGGAAGAACAAGTTCTCTGTAAGAGTGTAGCCCCTTTTTAGTAGAGAAAGAACCAAGGGATGGGCAAACACCCAAGAATATGTGACAGCACAAATTGGACTTGAAGAACTTTTAAAAATGAGGACAGAAAGTTGGTGGCTTGGCAAACAGCCTCCATTTTGAGTGATTTGGGGAAGAGAGTACAGATTATAAAAATACATTGTACAAAATTCCCAGAGAACTGAGAGAAACATTTAACTCTGGAGATGGCCATGGGGATGGACAGAAGCAATCAGTTTTACTGGGTGTATAGTAAGAAGAATAAAACGGAGATACTGCTAGTAGGAAGTAGGGCCTCAGCAATGTGATCCTAGCTATAATTTTCATGTTGAATGGCTGGGCATACAATGTGCCCAAGATAAGAAAAATGATTGTAGATGGGGGTAGGGAAGTTCTTGGGTTAATGCATTAAGTTTTAGGTGTCTGTAAAAATAGATATCTCTTGTTATTTTCAGCTCAAAGGTGATAACCTAAGTGAGTCCACATACGATGACCTAAAGCTAAGCAGACAAGAGGAAATTTAGCATCTCTTCTAGAGAGTAAGGTTGGAATCTGTGGCAGCTGAGAAACTTCAGCTCAGCATGTTGGCTGTTGCCAGTATCTTTGAATGTGTATCCACACTTTGTCTTTGTGTTTGAACATTCATGTGATACACATTATGAAGTGTCTGCTATGGGACACATCTAAAGGTTCTTGCCTCTAGATCCTTCCCCCATGTTCTTCATTTCCTTGTGATTGCAGAGAGGATGCCCAGCACCGCTGGGCTCTGAGCCTACTTATTACAACAGCTTCCTAAGAAATAAGTAAGCAACAGTGAAATCTAGATGTCAGTGAGCACAGGCTGATGCAAGTGGATATACCAAGATCCTGTGTCATAACTGTAGTGGAAATAACAAAAGGAAACCAACACAAGTTGCCTGGGAAATGATCTACACATAGCTGATGTAAGACACAGGTGATGTCACTGAGCTATTGTCATGTCATTGTGTCACTATCACTTATCTGTGATTTAATGTGAATGAAGCCTGTCCTACAGTCATCAGTAGTACAGACAGAACACAGAAAAGGCAGGACTTAAGAAAGAACTCAGTAATTTGTGGTTCAAACTTAATCACAATGTATGTCTTCTCTTTTTTTCTGAGGCTTTGGATGTGTTGAGATACTGGTCACTGCTTCTGCCAATTACATTGCTATCTGGGGGTCACTGTATCCCTTCTCCCTACAAATCTGAGACTAAGAAATAGATATGAACATACACAATAACAAGTTACACATTGATTATGCAGAGAACCTGGTTATTAGAGGGTTTACCAGTAAAGAAGACTTTCCTGTTGTGAGATTGTGTCAGTATTTAATAAGGAATAAGATTGCTGAATATATTATCAACCTCGACACATGTAAATAGTGCTAGTTGTTTAAATATTAAACTTCTGTCATTCTAAAAGTAATAGAAAATATAATGAATATAGCAAATACTCTGAGAAATATTGAGCATACTCTACATACTCTAGTCCCAAATCTCCAGTCAAGACTTAATTTTCATTGCTTATATTTCAGGGATCATGCAGAAATATCTGAGAAAACAGGGATTGGAGAGGGAAATGTTCAAGAGATCTGGCTTAAATAACTCTGAAAACTATTACAACAATAATTTAATTTTAGCATGAAAGTGCCAAAATTCCTCTTCAAATATGATGCTTTGATGTTTTAGCACAATGATAAAGTTATTGAGAGTAAGTTATATTTCTTTCAGAAGGGATAATATTTTCTAAACCAAGTCAATGAGTGGGTATAAATCAAGATTCTGTTATATCAAAGTGAAAAATTAGTGTATCTCCCAAAGAATAAAATAAAATTATGAAAATAAGCACACTTTCCCCACCTTTATATGAGAGAGTCCAGTTAAAAGCAAACCAAAATTAGAAAAACAAAACATTGAAATCTCAGTAGTGGAGAGAAGTAAAAGTAATTCCCAAACCATTAAAATCCATTTTTAAATTCTGCACCATGGCACTTAATAATTAAGAAATATTGGATGAAATCTATAGTCTACATTTATTTCTGCTTTTTACTTCATAAAGTAGGAAAATAGAACCACATAATAGACTTGTGATGATACCGGAAAATGAAGCATATAAAAAAATACTTCATCCTCCTTGGTGAGTGGATGGGGTGTCTAATCTAGGGTCAGTAGGGGGCATGGGAGGTTGGGAGGGAGACAGAACTGTGATTGACATGTAAAAGAAGAATGTTTCTACATTAAATAAATAAATTTAAAAAGACAATAAAATTCCAGAATCTTAATTTAATTAATTATTACATTTTTAAGGCTGTTAACACAACTTTTAAGACTGACATTGTAAGGATTGATTGTATGTTTATTTTCAGGAAACATTTTTAAATAGATGTGATAAGTATTTTTAGGTCAGTTTTTAGTACTACATGAACGCAAAACTCCAGAAATTTGTGTACACCAATAATCTTAATCTGCCTTGCTGCTATGATACTAATGTTCATGTAAGAATTCATTAAAATCAAAATAATGTTTTTTGAAGTGAGTTTGTGAAATTCTAAATTAGAATGCAACAATATGAAGCTAAAAATGTTAATCATATTTTATTTCTTTAATATTATAGCACTCAATTTAATGAGAAATACAAACGTGGAACTATTATCTTTATGTTAGAGGTTGCTAACCTTTCTGTGTGATTTCCTGATCAATAAGTGGGTAGTAATTTCAAACACTGACATTAAAAATTGAGAGAGATATTTTCTTCTTCTAATTTAAATTTTTGACATAATGAGTACAATATTCCAAGATGGCCTTAATTGGCTGCATAGCCTTGGGTTTCTGAGCCCTCTATCTTCGCCTCACCAGACCTTTGAAATCAGGCTGCCCCATCATGTTCAACTTTATTGTAAACAATGTCTTGTCATGTATATGAAGCAGAGACTAAATTCCCTGCATAGGAATAGAAGCAAACTATTTGACTGCTGTGTGAAAACCACGACATCTCTTTAACTGCAGCGTAGAAGAGGCAAGGAAGGTTTAACTCAAAAAAAGTTTTTGCTTGTATATAAAAATGTACCCTACTTTAAAAAAAGTATATAATTATGTTATGCTGTTACTAACTCTGTATCGAACTTATTTTAACTTTGTCATAACAGTGAATGACTTTAGGCTTTAATAAATATAAACTGAAAACCCAATGACTGGTGCCACCTATTGAGAGAAGCATGTGTGACAATGACATCCCTTTACTCCTGTCCAAAAGGCTCCAGAAACTGAGAAAGCATCAACAGCAGAAATCCCTGAAAACACACATGATGAGGATTGTGCTTTCCTTAAGATAAGCATCTGTGGAGGTGAGATTTTCCTTATGTAACCTGATGATTGTAATTTAGGCTTGCTTCAGATACTAATACTTTTATTCTCAATATTGTTAATACCAACAACACATAGAAGGTTGAGCTTTCAATCCAGTTAGGCCACTATCAAATGACCAATATTTACAGCCAAGAATCAAATAAAATGTAGCATATTGAAAATTTTTACAGTGTTTTACCTACAAAAATAAGTCAACTCAGATGAACTTGTTTTCCTTTTTTTAAATTAAAAAATTTGTGAAAAGTCACCCACAGGGGGGAAAAAACCAGAAATGACTCTGAAGTTGCTAAATAGTCCCTGCAATTTTATACAACCAAGGTGATTAACTTTTACTTGTAAAGGTAAAGGTTCATGTTCTTTCTATAGCTAATGGTTTCCTGTGTTTCTAAAAATATTCCACTTTTCACTTTTATTGTAAAACTAACATTTCCATATGAATGGACTCCTGAGCCCTTCATTCAAAGACTTTTCAGTGGCAACATTTATTAAGTGTGGAATTGTGAAGCTATTGAGATATTTACAGAGCAGTATCTTTTTATAGTGTTGCCAGCAGTTTATTTGGTGTATGTTTCAAATGAATGGTCACAAATACCATGCCATATTTATTTGAAGTGAAACTATGAAACCAGCTGGCAACTATGGAGAACGGTAATTATGAAATGATGGACTTTAATTCACTTACACAGATCTATTTTGGCAATAACATGAAGTAATACAGTACTACAAAGTAAACCTTGGTTTGTGACAGCAGATAAATAAACAAGGGTTATTTTTTTTCCTTCTCCTTTTTTGTTTTACTCTTACACAATATGAGGATGTGCTTCGCAAAAACATATGTGATAATGAGTGGAAAAATAAAAATGACCAGATAATAAGTTTACTGATATTTATTTAAGGAAGCATGCTTATATACATTAATGAGGAACTCTGTGACCTCGAGGAATATGTATGACATATGGCATAATTTCATCAGGTTTATTAATTATTTTGCTATATTAGCTATTACCTCATTTATCTTTTTTGTTTATTTTTAAGTGAGCAATACACTCTGTTGGCCATAGCAGAGTAGTAAATGATCGCAATCTCAGCTTTGAGGTGATTATCAAGAGTGTGAGGCAAGCCTGGCCTACATAATGATTTCCAGGTAGAAAAGCCTTCACATAGACACTATTATTCAAACAGCCAAAGCTAAACAAAATAAAACGTAGTTATTAATTATTGACTATAACTACCATGTTGAGCAAATGATCTTAAACTTATTTAATTGCAATGTTTTGCCCCTTTGTATATAGTTAAATGTATTTGTACATATTGCCCCATTGTGTGTGGGGGGCGGGTGGTAGGTGGGGGTGTGTATGTGTTTAAATGGAAATAAGTTCTTTTGCTGCATACTTATTTCATAATATTGTTACTGCTGGTTTTGCCAGCACATTCTTTGCCAATTTGCTCATTGCTCCTCTCTCTGTCACTGGGTTCCTTGGGTTCAGTTTAGTGTTTAACTGTGGGTGTTTGCCTCTGCTTCCTTCAGTCAGTGCATGAAGGCTCCCGGATGGTTATAGACATCAAGTTCATTATCAAGAATGGGCATTCAAGGTGGTCTCTCCACTCTTGCTTAGCTTGCCAACTGGTGTCATCCCTTTAGATCACTAGAGGTCACACTGGTGCCTGATCTGTCTTCTAACCTGTGATTCCCTCTTTTCTCTAATCTATCCCCCCAGTCAACCTTCCTGTTCCACCATGACCTACTATCTCTTCCACTTCTCCCCCTCTCTATTTCCCAGGGCCCCCCACCCCTTGCCGTGTTCCCCATCTGTTCAGAGGATCTTGCCTCATTCCTCTTCTCTTGGGTAGCATGCATATCTCTTAGGTAATTTCCTGTTTCCCAGACTCTCTGTCAGTGGTAGTGCAGACTGGCACTATGGCACTATCCTGATCCATGTCTAAAATCCATATATGAGTGAATACATACCATGTATTTTTTTGTGACTGGGTTACCTCACTCAGGATGGTTTCTTCCAGTGCCATCCATTTACCTGCGAATTTCAAGATTCCATTGTTTTTTTTTCTGCTGAATAGTAGTTTGTTGTGCAAGTGTACCACATTTTCTCTATCTACTCTTCAGTTGAGGGGCATCTAGGTTGCTTCCAGATTCTGGCTATTACAAATAATGCTGCTATGAACATAGTGGAGCAGATGCCCTTGTTGTATGAATTTTCCTCTTTTGGATATATGCCTAAGAGTGGGTCTTGTGGTAGACTGATTCCCATTTTCCTGAGGAATCTCCATACTGATTTCCAAAGTGGGTGTACAGAGTTGGCACTCCCACCAGCAGTGGAGGAGTGCTCCTCTCTCTCCACATAAATTGTCTTCGGTGTTTTTGATTTTAGCCATTCTGACAGGAGTAAGATGGTATATCAGAGTTGTTTTGATTTGCATTTCCCTGATGGCTAACAATGTTGAGCACTTTCTTAAGTGTCTTTGCCATTTTAGCCTCCTCTTTTGAGAATTCTCTATTTAGTTCTGTACCCCACCTTTTAATTGGATCCTTTGGTGTTTTGGAGACTTGCTTCTTGAGTTCTTTGTAAATTTTGGAGATTAGCCCTCTGTCAGATGTGGGGTTAGTGAATATCTTTTCCCATTCTGTGGACTGCCTTTTTGTCTTGTTGACTGTGTCCCTTGCTTAAAATGTAATAATCTTGAAATAAAGAGTTTTTAAACATTGGGTCCAAGAAAATTTTGAGAGCAAATAGTAAAGGAGTCCTACAAATATTTTCAATGGAATTTTTTAACTTAATTTATTTCACACCCCAACCACCGTTTTCTCTTCTTTTCTTTCCTCTCCTCCCATTCCCACACTTCACCTCTCTTCCTCCTGTTCTGTTTCCATTCAGAAAGGTGCAGATCTCCCATGGCCATCAGCAAAGAATAACATTCAAAGTTACAGTAGGATGAAGCACTTCCCCTTGCACTAAAGCTGAGTAAATTAGTCCAGTATGAGGAATAGGTTTCCACGATCCAGCCAAAGCTTTAGGACATTCTCTGTTCCCATTTTTACAGGTCTCACATACAGACCAAAGTAAACCACTGTTACATATGTGTAGAGGACCTAGATTGGTTCCATGTTTGTCAATTCATACTTGGAGTTTCTATGAGCCTGGGTTGATATTTCTGTTTTGTTTATTTGTATGATTTTGCGTGTGTGTGTGTGTGTGTGTGTGTGTGTGTGTGTGTGTGTGTGTGTGTGTGTGATGGTCTTAACAACCACTGGCTGGTACAATTTTTCCTCTCTTCAGTTTACTCTAATGTTTTAATGTTTGGCTATGGGTGCCTGTATCTATTTTCATCAGTTATTGGATGAAAGGTCTCACAGGACAATTGGGGTAGTCACCAATCTGAGCACATGAGATGTCCAGTTCAGCTTTTATTGTTGTCCATTAAGCATAACTGGAACTTTTCTTGATTTTTCATGGTATAAACAGGCATGGGCTGATTTAAAAGGAAGCCACTCTCATTAGTATGAGTCACAGATATTACTGTGTTGAACAAGATTCAGTAGAACATAACAAAGTTTGATGTCTCTCCTGAGATAAAGATAGAAACCATTAGGCATGTAAGCAAATCTGGATACCACAAGAGTGTGGTATCTCTATTTTGTGTCACAATGATTCTTGGTGTTGTTGTTGTTTCTAACATTGTCTCAAGTAGTTCAGGGTAGTCTTCATCTTGACACGTATGTAAGAATGACATTAAATTGCTGATCCACCAGGCAGGCATCACATCACTACATTGGAAATTCTTCACTACGCTGGGTGTTTGACCATTTTCTACTACAACCATATAATTAATTTAAAATGGATACATATTTTCCTGTCATTAACATAGCTTTTTCCCTTTAGTATTATGGACTGATTATGTTTTTGCCTCCCTCTACTCCTCCCAGTTCCTCCCCACCTCCCTCCCCATCTGAATTCAATCTTCGTTTCATTAGGAAACAAACAGGATAATGTGTTCTATACTATACCACATTGTACTATACTATACTGCACTCTACTATACATAGGAAAAGGACAAATGATCACAGCCCATAGAGTCAACTACGCAGGGCTGATAGGGTTGCTCTGAAACTGAAGTGTAAACTAGAGAGCATGTGTGAGTCTGTGTTAGGTCCTTTGCATATAGTTTGTTGCTTTGCAGCTCAAGGTTCTTGTGGGACAGCTAGCAGTGGGAGGAGAGGTCTGTCTGACTCTTGCCTGCTCTTGGGTCTTATTTCTTTCTTCTGGGTCGGCTCATCCGGCTATGATATGAAGGTAAGCACGTAGTCTCATTTGAGCTAGTTTTGCAACATTTTGTTGATATCCCTGGGAGGCCTGCTCTTTTCTGAAGGTATCTGTGGAGATGGAAGTTTGTGGGGAGAGTGGGAGGAGTTGAGGGGAGAGGAACTGCAGTTAGGATATACTATATGAGAAACAAATAATTTTTTTAAAAATTAAAAATAAATACATGAATAAAATAAAAGAGAATAAAAAATAAAGAAAAGTAGAACCTGATATAACATTATGAAAAAAGGAAAGGTCAAAAATAATCTTGAGTTGGTTTTCTGTAGGTCATCTGCTGCTGGACACGCATACTACTCAAAAGAGAAGCTTTTTTCCCATCAAGAATACTTAGGAGATAAATATATTTTTATTTGCCTGGGGTTTTCAATCAGAGGTAGCTTCTGGATTAGGGGACATGTGTCCACATCCCTCAGCTCCAGGACTCAAACTGGTACTGACCCATGGAGGCCCTGTAGATGCCATGCCAGTCTCTACATTCATGCAAGCTTTGCAGAATTGTTTCAGGTGGCCTTGTTTTCATGGTGTCCCCTATCACTTTTGGCTCTTGTACTCTTTCTACCTAGGCTTCCACAGGGTTGAGATCTCAGGGGAGAGATTTGATGCAGACATCTGGTTCAGGGCTTAGTATTCAAATGTCTTTAAGACTGTAAACTTTGTCTGGCTGTGGGTATTCATTCTCCCAGGTTTCAGGAGGCAAACGACTCTGATGAAGGATGAGCAAGACAACAAATTGTTCTGCTTTCCTGGCTGATTTGACAAAATATTCCCAGAGAATGGCTGCTAGTGTTGGGGGCTGCTATAATCTAAATGTAAATATAAATACATACATACATACTTATATTAATTTAAAATACAATTATTTCATACTGTAATAACTAAAGAAACTCTATTTTGTTCTGGATGTCTCTCTTTGTACCTAATAGCTGTTTGTCACTGATTCGAGTTCGTGAAATTAAGCTCTGCAACCCTGACTGCTTGAGACCCCCTCCCACCAGAAATGTACAGCTGTGACCATCTGTGTGATATTGTTAATATCATGGATCTGTACTCTCCTATCCTTTGGATTCTGACAGCATACACTCTCAGTTCCTGCCAATAAGAGAACCACCTGTGCATATTCACTATGTTCCCATTAAAAAGGTCCTGCCCACCTCTACTCCTCCTCTCTCTTTCTCTCCCTCTCTCTGTATGTTTCCTGCAGTCTCCCTCTCTGTCTTTGTCTTCTCCTCTTTCCTCTCTCACCCTCTTCTTTCCTCTGTTTCCCCTTCTTTCATCTTTCATCTCTCCTCCAGCTGTTCCTGTCTCCAGAGGCTAGTCTCACTCTCTTCCCTTTCCCCTTTTTATGATCCCTTTTCCCATTAAAAACCCCTCAGTTGAATCCTGTCCCATGCCATCTTTCTCTCCAGATTGGCTTTTCTTAAATTACAACAGATATGACTAACTGATGATTCGGGTTCTGTAACTTGGTTATGCATACATCCAAAGACTATTGAAGCCACCTTGGCCATCTAACCTTGGCAGAACAGAACAGAACAGCTCTTATGGGTTTTACCTTTATAAGGCATGGTATGTCTGTTGATTTGAGCAAGAGATTGTGGCCTTACTATAGGTCTAAATAAATTTGGTTAATTCTAATTCTAAATTGTGTATGTGAGTCTTTTCTGAATAGTTTCTCAAATCTTGCAATAATACAATCTATTCTCATTATGATTTCCCTTCCCCCAATTCCTCTCAGTTCTTCCTCACCTCCCCTTCAAGCCAAATAAACAGGCTTTTGTTCTCACTCTCAGACGGGTGTCTGGAAAATAATAAAATAAGATAAAAGAAAACCAGACTATGTGTGTATAAAAGTGTGCATCTTTGCATCTGACTTTATTTCCTGTGCTTTTTCTCTGTTTTTTTTTTTTTTGTGTTTGTTTTGTCTTACTTTGACCAATTCTAACGGACCAACATTTATCATCATCCTCACCATCATCATCTTTACTGTCTTTTTTCTCTACAGTGGTTTCTGTCCCTGTCTTAAGTGTCAGGGAAGTAACAGCTGAGGACCAAGATTATGATACATACTGTGAATAACAGAGCCACACTCTATCATTAATATTGTTCTCTGTTTTCTTGAATGGATAACAAGTACATTGGTTACTTAATTGAATCCAATTTTCAACAATGACTCATAAGGTTAGGCTGATGTGTGACTAAGAAACATTCAATTATTTAACAAGTAATGTAATAAAGAAATATGTGTAAGTCTATTTATACTTGGTTAATATATATTAGTAGAAATTTAGAGTTTTATAAATGTATACATATTAGAAGGACATGTCTTAAATTATTGGGAATGTTTTGAGTTATTCTAATGACAGTTTGTTTCCTACATTTGTGTATTTATCATAATTGTTAGAACATAAAAGCAATTTGTAGTAAGCCATTTTTTATTATTTATTTATTTATTTATCCCATATGTATTCTACAAATTATTGAATGCACTCATTCCTGTATTTTATGAACATATATACCAAATTTAATGCCCTATAGCTTTCATCTCACACCCAAACTTCATCATTAGACAGGCCTATCTATGATTGTGCCAGGGGACAATCCATGTTTCTCCTAAATGTTACTAATAATGTGCTGTTACTAATAAATGTACAACAAATTTATGATTATAATTCACAGTAGCACACAGAGACTATAGTTATATGAAAATGTATTAAATGCACACGTTTACTGACAGTGATCAAATTTAATTATAATAATTCATGACAGGGTAAATGATTTACATTGAATGGACATCAACATAAATAATGCTTTAGTTGTTTCTTTTGTAAATTGTCTCTGGTCTATTCCTAAAACAATCTATTTGAAAAAGATTTTGAATTCTTTTGTTACTATTATTAGCATTTCAGACCTGTAGCTTTTTAATTTCTTTGTTAAAATTGATAAGTACCTAGTGTTTTGAATGACAGAATTTTAAAATAACTTTTGGCATATTTTGCATAACTTGTATCCTTTAGGTTAAAAACTCAAATATATATTATTGAAAGAAAATATTGACAATATATTTGTACCAATTTATATTAATTGATAATATCAATAATGCAAAAATTGGTAAGAGTTTTTAACTGTAAATCACTAAAAGACATTAGGCTTGTGTTAAATGTAGGTCTAGAGCACAGACCCTGCATTCAAAGTAGAGAGAAATCTCGGATGGCTATTCGCTTTGATCATAACTATGGAAAGACAATACATTTTTCTCTGGAAACCCATGCCTTTTCCTGAGACCAGGAATTCTGGTGGAGTTTTGTGATAAGAAGTTAATTCTTAAAATCCCATTATATGACATTCTGCATTGCAAAAATCTCAGGTATGGTCCTGGTGTGTCAATTATTACCCCATTATAATGTAGCATAGAATATAGCTACCTTTGTACACTTAGCTGCACTTTCATTTCATTTAGGGGAGTGATAACGAGTTCCAGTTTCACAATCTGATTTATCATGAACTTTTTTTGTGAATAAGTAGCTGGTACTTGAATGTGACCCTCATTACCTCCAGCTGTGAGGGCTCTACTGTCATTGTTCCAGTGCAGTGTCTGAGAGCTTCTGCCTTCCAATTTTATAGAAACCTAATTTTGGTTTCTGGCTTTGTCCTCTTTCATTTTTCTATATAAGAGTTGGCATCAGGAGCAAGATGCAAAACCGAAGAACATAAGAGAGGCCTGGGTTAGTCAAGGAAGGCTCATTTTCCTGCCTATTTTGAACTTCTTTGCTATTGAGAAAGTTTCCCAGCTTGTCCTTTCACACATTGCAGAGGCTATTACAAGTTATACTCACACACTGAAGGAAAAGACTTGTTAGCAAATGCCCATATGGAAGAAAAACTCTGGAGCTAGTTTTCCTGCTCCCAAATTAAGCTTCATTTTGTATTAGTTATTTTGGCAAGAAACTATATATTTGCTACAATGATTTGCTCCTCTATGCCATATTGTCCTTGTATTATGTAGAGTTAGTATAAGCAATCAACTATATACATATATATATATATATATATGCAGGTATATACACACACACATATGTATGTGTGTGTATATAAAAGCAGCCATGCAAATGTTCATGGGTTAATGCTCATTATTTTTCATTATCATTGTTTTAGGAGATGCTTCTACAAGGAAATGGGATCTGACATATCCAAGCAGTTAAGAGACAGGAGAAAATTCCAAGGCTTCAAGGATCACTGATTTACTGATAAATTTAAAAAAATATTATGGTAAAGAATCATTGAGAGATAAAATCCAACAAGTAACAGGTATCAAGGTATAGGTAATGATGAACCATATGTAAAAATTCTCATAGTGCAGGAAAACAGTTACCATTAATTCTTGTTTTTTCTTTTTTTATTATTTTAATATTTTTAAAGATTTATTACATACACAGTGTTCTGCCAGAAGAGGGCATCAAATTGAATTGTAGATGGCTGTAATCCACCATGTGGTTGCTGGGAATTGAACTCAGGAACTCTGGAAGACCAATCAGTGCTCTTAACCTCTGAGCCATCTCTCCAGCCTATTATTTTAATTTTAAATAGCTTGATTCACATGTCAATCCCAGTTCCCTCTCCCTCTCCTCCTCCCGCACTCCCCACCATCCCCCCTCAGCCTCCTACACTATTGCCACTTCCTTCCACATAGGGGATATCTAGAGTCTGTCATTTCACTTAGGGCAGGGTCCAGGCACTCCCCTAAGAGTCCAGGCTGAGAGAGATTCCCTCTTTGTGTTATGGACACACGAGTCCGTTTGTATGCCAGAGATAAACTCTGATCCACTGCCCAGGGCCCCATAGGTTGCCCAGGCTTCCTCACTGACTTTCACATTCAGGGGGTCTGGATCAGTCTTGTGCTGGCCTCCCAGCTGTCGGTCTGGGGTCCAAGAGCTCTCCCCTGTTCAGATCAGCTGTCTCTGCTGGTTTTGCCAGCCCATTCTTTGCCAATTCTCTCTGTAACTGGGTTCTATGGGTTCAGTTCAGTTTTAACTGTGGGTGTTTGCCTCTGCTTCCATCAGTCACTGGATGAAGGCTCCAGAATGGTTATAGACATTAAGTTCATTATCAGGAATCAGCATTCAAGGTGGTCTCTCCACTGTTGTTTAGCTTGCCAGTTGGTGTCATCCCTTTAGATCACTAGAGGTCTCACTGGTACCAGATCTGTCTTCTAACCTATGATTCCCTCTTCCCCCTATTCTACCTCCTACTCAACCTTCCTGTTCCCCCATGACCTACTCTCTCTTCCTCTTCTCCTTCTCTTCTTCTTCCCAGATCCCACTCCCCTGCCACCCCTCACCATGTTCCCAATCTGTTCAGAAGATCTTGCCTCATTCCTCTTCTCTGGGGTACCATGCATGTCTCTCTTAGGTTCTTTCCTGTTTCGCAGACTCTCTGTTAGTGGAAGTGACTATCCTGATCACCATTAATTCTTATACAAAGGAATAACTTGGTCAATTGTGAATTAAAATCAAACAAACACATGCTTTAGGTAATATAGAACATATACTGAGCACAAGAAACGTGGTAAGAGATTACTATGAGAAAAGATGCATTAGAGAGACATTCTCCTTAAGGATACTCTTAGTTAAGGCTGTAGTAACAGAAGAGAAAGATGTCCAGGGAAGTTTAATGTGAACATTGGACATCATTGCCAATATCAGAATAATTTCAGAAGTTAAAATTAAGTTACAAAATAAATCATAGGAAAAAATCTTGTTTCCTTTTTCTCAAAATATTACTTAGTGATAGTGGGCATTTAATTATTTAATAATCAGTTAGTTGTCATTAGATGGTCTTTTGTGATGTGAAATCTATCATGACAGAGATTTGGCTACAAAACCTAAAACTAGGAACATAGATTAACTCCAGGATAACATTGTTAAAGTTCCAATGAGAAAAACAAAATCTGTAATTATAAAAGATGGAAGTGGGACAAAGAGAATTTAGGCAATTCTGCATTTTAAAGTATATCGATGTAGGTATTTTAGATAATTAATTGACCAATATTCTGTAGGAGACCAAAATCCCAAAGCGACTCGCATACTTCTGCTTTGTTCAGTTGCATGGACCATAGAATCAATCATAGAGATGCTGAACACCAAAGTATGAGTTGCACACAAATATTCTTACTCATTTTGACATATTTGGCTAATGTAATCTTCCTCCTAGATTGATAACAGTTCAT